CTCCTCCTCCGCCTCCTCCTCCTCCTCCTCCTCCTCCACCTTCACCTCCTCCTCCTTCTCCTCCTCCTGCTTCTGCTCCTGCTCCTCCTCCTCCTGCTCCTGCTCCTCCTCCTCCTCCTCCGCGTCCTCCCCTCCTCCTCCGATGAGTCCCAGGACCCAAGAGGCGTGTAGGAGGACTGCGTTGAGCTGGCAGACCACACGCGCACGCTTTGAGCGGCAGGGGGGCCTGGCAGGTGGCCATCCGAGGGGCCACGACGCACTGGCCGGCGCATACCGAAGAGGAGGGATGACAAACCAGGACAGGCCGATGCAAGCCCAGCTTGTTTCATGCGGGCAAGTTGCGAGCCGAGTGCTACGCAGTCTCGGGAGCGAGCCGTGGCTAGCGGGGGGATGTTGGGGAAATTTTATGCCCTCGCCTCTGGTGGAGTGGCCGCGCCTGCATTGGACCATCGTCCAGGACGTCGCCGGTGCGGCGGGCGGAAGAACCCCTTGCGATGAGACCCCCGCACCGATTCCACACTCACCAGCAAAACGCATGCGCCACCGTGGAGACTGTGCTCACGTAAAAGCAATGAGGGTATGTGCGAGCGGGCTTTGAGCGTCGCGTCCGTCTGGGCCCAGACCGCGACGCCGGCGCACGGCCACCTCGGGGTGCCTTTGGACCAGTGGAACAGCACGGGCCAACGTAGGAAGGGAGGAGGAGGAGGAGGAGGAGGAGGAGGAGGAGGAGAAGGAGGAGGAGGAGGAGGAGGACGATGCGCAAAATCCCGTCTCAGTTGCCAAGTTTCCCTCCCCTGCGAACTCTCCGATTTTGGGAGTATGCAAAACCGCAGCTGAGGGGGGGAGGATGGCTGAGAGAGGACGGCGGAGAGGGGCCCCCAAAGGCTCCCAGGTAGCCGACATCATCCGAAATACATATTTTGTTGAGTTGATTTTTGCTTGTCAGGCTTTTCTTCTTCAGATGGTTTTGCTTTAGAGGCCCGAAGACGCCCGAAGAAGGCCGAAACAGACCTGAAGTGCTCCAGAGTCCCCAGATGGGGCCAAGATAGTCGTATGACGGCCCAAGATAGTTCCCACACGGCCTAAGAGGCCCCCAACAGCCGTCAGGGGCCGCCCAAAGTCTTGAAGACGGCCCATAAAGGGGCCCCCAGACAGCCCTCAGACAGCCCACGGCGGCCCCAAGAGACCAACGCAGCCAAACCTGATTATGTGTGTATACATACACACATACATTTTTTTCAAAACCAACATCGGAGGGCCCCGAGCCCACCATGAAACATTCCCGTTACGCGAAGGACCTTTCGAACAAACTGACCCGGACCCTCTCAAGAGGCCCCGGAGCGCTCCGAGGGGCAGCTCAAGGCAATCCCTTAAAACGCTCCGATTTTTCCTTCGGAGGACTCCTGGGCGACCCAGGGTGCGCCAATGTAACACATTGGTGTGAAGGTGGTGGAAAAGGGGGAAGGATAGGTGGTGGCGGAAGAGGACGAGGAAGAGAGGTATCAAGAAAAAACGCAGATCGAGGAGACGGAGACGGTGGCGGCGGCGGTGGCGGAGGCGGTGGAGGAGGAGGATGAAGAGGAGGAGGAGGAGGAGGAGGAGGAGGAGGAGGAGGAGGAGGAGGAGGAGTTGGACCACCTTGGGGACGGAGAGAACGTCGAACATGATGAACGAGGGCGAGGATGAGAATAGGTGGAGCGGAACATTGATGAGGCGGACAGGAGTGGAAGAGAGATGAGGAAGCGAATGTGGAGCTGGAGTTGCCCAACGTTGCATTTTGACAGCGTATGTTGGAACCGTCGCAAAATTGCACGGCGCAGAGGTATTAGCCTGGTGCCCCAGTCAGCACCACCGCTGTCCGGATGAGCATCACGAATCTTATCATACCCTTCAATTCGCAGAACATGTGGTCAGCGCTGGATGGGTTGGGCCTGAGCGCTCGCAAACCGCGCGCGTTGTATTGCTAATGTTTCTCCTCAGCCCACCTTAATGCTCCCCCATCGACCCTTCTCATCTGACCTCCTCCTCCGCCCTGCACCTCTCTTTAAATGATCGCGTTGCCCGCGTCACTCGTTTTTTCCACCGCGGTCCAGCACGTGCCAAGTTGGTCACGCAGGAGGCCTCTCGGCAAAACATTCGAGATTTTGATTGTAGATCGATGCCTGCATAGGGCTGATCGATCCAGCGCCCAGGGGGGAAAGAAGGGCTGGAGGCGTCTACCGCGTCACTACCCAGGGCTTCATCGATCTGGGCAAGCTGCAGGCCTCCCGATCCTTGTCGTCAGCGTCGTCGTCGTCATCGTTGCCGCCGCCGCCGCCGTCGTTGTCGTCGTTGCCGTCGTTGTCGTCGTCGTTGCGATAGTCGTCGTCTTCATCGTTGTCGTCGTCGTCGTCGTTGTTGTCGTCATCGTAGTCGTTGTTGTCTTTGTCATAACCATCGTTGGCGATGTCGTCGTCGTCGTCGTCGTCGTCGTCGTCGTCGTTGTCATTGTTGTAGTGGTCGTTGTTGTTGTTGTTGTTGTTGTTGTTGTTGTTGTTGTTGTGGTTGTTGCTGCTGCTGTTGTTGTTGCTGCTTTTGTTGTGGTTGTGGTTGTTGTTGTGGTTGTTGTTGTCGTGGCTGTCGTTGTTGTTGTTGTTGTTGTGGTTGTGGTTGTGGTTGGGGTTGTTGTTGTTGTTGTTGTTGTTGTTGTTGTTGTTGTTGTTGAACTCTTATTTCTGAAGGATACTTACTGTTGATCCCCCCGTCCGGTGCACATTTTGTTTTTTTCGATTGAAGTGCCCCTCCCGGGGCTCGCACCCTGTTTTTTTATGAGGGAAAGTCTTGAGGGTCAAACTGTGTCGTTGGCCCCTGGTTTGCAACAACAACGGCTCCCGCCTGATACTTCCTCACACTTTTTTGAAAAATCGCACTCTCGCTTGGGACTTCCTTACATTGCCACCGGATCGCGGCTCCCGTTTGATACTTCCTCATAATTTATTGAAGAATCGCGCTCTCGCTTGGGACTTCCTCGCAACTTACCACCGAATCGAGGCTCACGCCTGATACTTCCTCACCATTTATTCAGATGCCGCTCCTCGACACTCAGGAATCGCGCTCCCGCTACATATTGCCTGGCGGTTCAAGCAGAATTAACGCTTCAACGACCCGCCCGCTCGACCCGCCCGTCTGGGCCTGCCCGCCCGACCAGCCCTTAAGGACTGCAGTCGCCGCTCGCTGCCCTTCGAAAGAATCTATCGATGCCCCTCGCTGCCCGTACTGGTTCCGCGGTCGCCTTCGCTCGCTGCCCTTCGTGGCCCCGTTGCTGCCCTCAGTGGCCCCGTCGCTGCCCATTGTGGCCCCACGTTATATGCCCTTCGTGGCCCCCGCTCGGAGTCGCCCGTCGTGGCCCCATACGCATGCCCTTCGTAGCCCCGCTGTTGCCCTTCGTGGCCCTCTCGCTGCCCTTCGTGGCCCCTTTGCTGGCCTCAGTGGCTCCGCTGTCGCCCGTTTTGGCCCCATATACGAATGTCCTTCGTGGCCCTCGCTCGTTCGCACCCGTCGTGGCTCCATATGCATGCCCTTCGTGGCCCCGCTGTCGCCCTTCGTGGCCCCCTCTCTTGTCCACTTCATCCCAATCCACTCCACACCCCCGCGCTCCTCTCGACACGGTGGCAGTTCTCATTATCTTTCCGCCCCACTCTCCCGACATTCCGCTTTTTTTCAGGGTTCCACGAAGTTTGTTTCTGACATCAGTTCGCAGCTGTACGTCACCCCGTTGGGGTATCCACGATCTGTTCTTTCAAGGGGGTGGTACGTGGCGCTGTTTATGGCGCGACCCATGGCGAAACTTATTGTTAACCTGTTTTGGAGTGGCTGGTGCAAGCCATGGAGCAAGCTGAATCGCCAATCGCAGCGCAAGTCATCGTCCTCCCTCTTTCTTGCCCCTCCCGTCCCTTCCTCCGATCCCTTCGTCTTCATTCTCCCCCGTTATTTGTTTCCCCTCGTTTTCAAGGGCTTCACCACCCACGCGTGGCAGGGAATGAATATACCCCCAGAAAAGGGGATACGATCGAAGACGAAGAGGGCGGGTATCCAGGGTTTGGGATATGCATATCGAATGACACGCGAGCAGATCAGACCGAACAGTTTTAACGTGATTGTTGTTGTTATTGTTGTTGTTACTGCTGCTGTTGTTGTTGTTGTTGTTGTTGTAGTAGTTGTTGCTGTGTTTGTTGCTGTTGCTGTTGCTCTTGCTGGTGTTGGTGTTCTTGCGCTTCCATGTTTACTAAAGAGCGCGAAGGGGGGTGGAACTGGACTCCCCCCTGGATGGAAGGGGGGGGGTCGAACCCTCCCCCCGTCCCCTCCCCCCCCTCCCCCTCCTTTCCTACTTTTCCTCTCTCCCTTTCCTTGGGCCGGCGCCTGTATCGGCGGTGGTGGTGGTGGTGTAGTGGTTTGCTGTGGTGGTGGTGGTGGTGGTGGGTTATGCTGCTGGTAGTGGTGGTGGTTTTGGTGGTGGCGGTGGTGGTGGGCGTGTGGTAGTTTGTGGTGGTGGTGGTACTGGTGGCAGGTTGTGGTGATGGTGGTGGTGGTGGTGAGTTGTGGTCGTGGTACCGTCCTTGATGGAGGCTTCAGTCGGGATGGCAGTCGGAACATGAAATTACATCTTCGCTCAGTGATGGGGCAAGATCGGGAGAACATGTATCGCAACCGCCAGGGACGCCGTTCAGGCGGGCGGGACATCAAATATCCGATTCGCTCAGTGATGGAGCGTTAAATCAGGCGCATGAGCGGGACTTTAAATTCAACCGTCAGTCAGTGCTGGGGCGTCATCATCATCATCATCATCATCATCATCATCATCATCATCATCACCATGATGACCATCACTACAGTCGTCGTAGTGGTCTTTATCATCGTCGTCGTTGTCGTCGTCGTCATCGTCGTCGCCGCTGCCCGACGGCGAGGGCACCAGCGCCGGCGCTCGCCGTCGTCGGTTGCAAGGGGGGGCCCTTTCGTCGTCG